AAAAAAAAAAAAAAAAAAAAAAACAAGTATAAAAATGTGTATTTTTTCAATCATCTTTTAAAAACTGCATAGAAGGCTAATATGTAAATAGTTTTAAAAAATTAATTTGATTGGGTGGCGTCTGTGGCTCAAAGGAGTAGGGCGCCAGCCTGATATGCCAGAGGTGGTGGGTTCAAACCCAGCCCTGGCCAACACTGCAAAAAAAAAAAAATTAATTTGATTATGTCATCAAATTGACTAGTCAGGAGAAAAAGAATACCTGGCAAGTGAAAACACAGAGAACACAGAAATGTTTTCAGATAGAAACTTTTCATATCAATAATATAATTAAAAAATCATCCCTATTTGCTGCCAAAAATATCACTGCTACAATAATTTTCTATTTATTTTCCATCACTGGCAAATATGGTCATATTGCAGCAAGTCCAAAGCTGTAAATTTTCATGTCAGGTAATAACAGGATTACATGCACTGTATTTCACCAGTTTTTAAAAGCAAAGAAGTCCTCAAAACAGGTTCTAATTGGTTTTTCTTTCTTTCTTTTTTTTTTTAATATGGAACACTTCACAAATTTGCATGTCATCCTTACACAGAGGCCATGCTAATCTCTGTATCATTCCAATTTTAGTATATGTGCTCCTGAAACAAGCACCTAATCTTTTCTCTCTCTTTTTTTTTTTGAGGCAGAGCCTCAAGCTGTTGCCCTGGGTAGAATGCTATAGCATCACAGCTCACAGCAACTTCCAACTCCTGGGCTAAAACGATTCTCCTGCCTCCACCTCCCAAGTAACTGGGATGACAGGCGCCCGCCACAACATCTGGCTATTTTTTGGTTGCAGCTGTCATTGTTGTTTGGTGGGCCCTGGCTGGATTTGAACCCGCCAGCTCAGGTGTGTGGTTGGCACCTTAGCTACTTGAGCCACAAGTGCCAAGCCTCTCTCTCTTTTCTTAAAAGACAGAGTCTTATGCGGAGTAGAGTGCCATGTCATCATCATAGCTCACAGCAACCCTAATCTCTTAGGCTCAGGCAATCTTCCTGCCTCAGCCTCCCAAGTATTTGGGACTACAGTCCCCACCACAGCAGCACCCAGCTAATTTTTCTATTTTTAGGAAAGACAGGGGTCTCACTCTTGCTGAGGCTGATCTGCAACTCCCAAGCTCAGGCAACTCACCTGCCCTAGTCTCCCAGAGTGTTAGGATTACAGCAGTGATCCACTGTACCCAGCCTTTTTTCTTTTTTTTGAGACGGAGCCTCAAGCTTATCCCCCTGGGTATGCCATGGCATCACGCTCACAGCAACCTCCAACTCCTGGGCTCAAGCGAGTCTCCTGCCTCTGCCTCCCAAGTAGCTGGGACCACAGGTGCCCGCCACAACGCCTGGCCATTTTTTGGTTGCAGCCATTATTGTTGTTTGGCGGGCCCGGGTGGGGGATTCGAACCTGCCACCTTAGGTGTACGTGGCTGGTGCCTTAGCCACTTGAGCCACAGGCGCCGAGCCCCAGCCTTTTTTCTTAATGTTTTAACAACCTTTAACAATGACAATCCTTCTTCTTATCAAGCATGGTTCTTTGTGGGAGCAAAATTATCTTTTAATGGATTATGACCTGCTTATGAAAGAGGAGGAGGGCAGGGGTAAAAAGGTAATTTGATGATGGCACAATAAGTGGCTAACATGTGGTATGTTCCTTCTATAATGAATTATTATTTTAAAATTAATTGACTCTATTAAAAATCTATTTCATGGCAGAGCCTGTGGCTCAGTGAGTGGGACGCTGGCCCCATATACCAAGGGTGTATGAACCAAGGCAAGAGAATCGCTTAAACCCAAGAGCTGGAAGTTGCTGTGAGCTATGACGCCACAGCACTCTACCAAGGGTGACGAAGTAAGACTGTCTCTAAAAGAAGGAAAAAAAAGAAGATTACTGGTCTAGTGAAGGAGCTATAAGCATTTGTTGACCAAAAATAATGAATTTTGGGCGGCACCTGTGGCTGAGTGAGTAGGGTGCCAGCCCCATACACCAAGGGTGGCAGTTTCAAACCCAGCCCTGGCTAAACTGCAACAAAAATGTGGCCAGGCGTGTGGCAGGCACCTGTAGTCCCAGCTACTTGGGAGGCTGAGGCAAGAGAATCACTTAAGCCCAAGAGCTGGAGGTTGCTGTGAGCTGTGACACTACAGCACTCTACCGAGGACAATGATGTGAGACTCTGTCTCTATTTAAAAAAAAAAAAAAACCCTAAAAAAAATCTATTTCGACATTTTTCTAGTTTTCAGTTTATAAAAATCAAAAAAGTTGCTTTGTGGTAAAAATGTACCTTTATTATCATTTATATTTACTTAGAATAAATACATGCAAGAATTATATCGATCATGTCCTATTCTAGTCAGCAGATGCCTATTGCTCACTCTGGAACAGTCATCAAAAAACCCCACTTTGCAGCAGTTGAAATAGGTTCCAAAAAAGAAAGAAAGAAACCTACTTCCTTTTGAAAATGAAAATTTAAAAATATATAAATTTTTTTAAAAGAAAATGAAATAGTCAACTAACTATGAAAACTCTTCACAGAGATGTCTTCTATGTTTAGATAGCACTAATACTTTATTCTTAGGGTAGCTGATGGAATTGAGCCACAGTGACATTTGCGACTAGAAGGGAAGATGGAAATGATTCCATTAACCCAGAGTGCTGTAACATATGGTAATCATAGGTGGTAGAATAGCTGTGTTGGACAAGGGTAGAAGTAAGCCATGTGGCACAGACATTATCAATTACCACACATGGTAACCATGCTGACACAATGCATCTTTTCCAGAAAGAAAATGATTTGGGCATATGAAGTACTTTACTGCCTTATCAAAGGGTGATCTATAAATGACATATCTGGCACCAATATAGCACATGTAGTTTCCAGGAATTCTGCAAGATCTAAGAATTAAGATTTAATGAACTTCCTTATACCTAAATAATAGTACAGTACCTTGCAGTTATTTCCACAAAGACAGGAAATAAAAATATGTTTGCAAAATAAACTTGGGTCCCTCACATATAAAACTATTAATTTTTGAAATATCCTTTTATTTATTTTTATTTACTTATTTATTTTTTGTAGAGACAGAGTCTTACTTTATTGCCTTCTGTAGAGTCACACAGCTCACAGCAACATCCAACTCCTGGGCTCAGGCGATTCTCCTGCCTCAGCCTCCCGAGTAGCTGAGACTACAGGCACCTGTCACAATGCCCTGCCATTTTTTTATTGCAGTTCAGCTGGGGCTGGGTTTGAACCCACCACCCTCGGTATATGGAGCCGGCGAACTACTAGCTGAGCCACAGGCACCGCCCAAATAGCCTTTTAAATTGCCACATAAAGGCTGGGCACATTGGCTCATACCCACTATCCTAGAACTTTGGGATAATGCCAAAGTGGGGGCATCCCTTGAGCTCAGAGCTTGGAGACCAGCCTAAGACCCTGTTTCTACTAAAAATAGAAAACTTGGCTCGGCGCCCATAGGTCAGCGGTTAGGGCACCGGCCACATGCACAGGGCTGGCAGGTTCAAACCTGGGCCAGCTAAACAACAATGACAACTATAACAACAATAACAAAAAATAGCCGGGTGTTGTGGCAGGCACCTATAGTTCCAGCTACTTGGGAAGCTGAGGCAAGAATATCACTTAAGGCCAAGAGTTTGAGGTTGCTATGTGCTGCAACACAATGGCACTTTACCGAGGATGACATAGTGGAACTCTTTCTAAAAAAAAAATAAATAATAAAAATTAAAAAAAATAAAAATAGAAAAACTAGCCGGGCATTGTGACAGGCACCTATAATCCCACCTATTTGGGAGACTGAGGCAGAAGGATTCTTGAACCTAGAAGTCTGAAGTTTCTGTGAGCTAGGTTGCTGCTCTGGCTAATGCCAGAGACAGAATGAAACTCTGTCTTTAAAAAAAAAAGTTCAGGTGGCACCCGTAGCTCAGTGGGTAGGCCACCAGTGACATACACCCAGGCTGGTGGGATTGAACCTGGCACGGGTCAGCTAAACAACCATGACAACTGCAAGAACAACAACAACAAAACAAATAGGCATGCCCAGCACCTGTAGTCCTAGCTACTTGGGAGGCTAAGGCAAGAGAATCGCTTAAACCCAAGAGTTTGAGGTTGCTGTGAGCTGTGACTCCACAGCACTCTACCAAGGGCAACATAGTGAGACTCTGTCTTAAAAAAAAAAAAGATCAAGAAGCCAAAAGAATAAAATGAAACAAAACTGTCATATAAAATTCTGGAATTTTCTTTCTTTTCTTTTTTTTTTTTTTGAGACAGAGTCTCACTTTGTTGCCCTTAGTAGAGTGCTATTGCATCACAGATCATGGCAACCTCAAATTCTTGGGCTTAAGCGATTCTCTGACCTCAGTCTCCCAAGTAGCTGAGACTATAGGCGCCTGCCACAGTGCCCAGCTATTTTTAGAGACAAAGTCTGGCTCTTGCTCAGGCAGGTCTCAAACTCCTGAGCTCAGGCAGTCTACCCACCTCAGCTTCCCAGAGTGCTAGGATTACAGGTGTAAGCCACCATGCCCAGCCAAAATTCTGGAATTTTCTATGTGTGGAAATAAGTCAATAATTTCATAATTCTTTAAAGTATTAAGCCTATAGGCAAAAATTCAATATAGGTTGTACTGAAAGATGAAATTCTAATTATTTGTGCTAAATATTGCCAAAAATATTGAATTGAAAGAAACATGATGAAAATTGTGTTTTAAGAAAATTTAATATGCAAACATTCCTTCAGATTAAGTGCAGGATGGGTGGAAGAAGAGAGATTGAAGGCTGGAATAATTTGGACAATGGGAGATAAGGAGAGTACAGAAGAGAATGGTGCCAGTAGGAATGATGATGAACAGACAAGTCCAGAGTCACTGGACAGGAGGATCTGAAATCCTAAGAAGGAACCTAAAGACATAATTTGTGAAGATCTGACCACCCACCCAGAGAGGTATTCATCTGGCTGTTCCAATTATCTATTCCTGTAATACAAACTACTGCAAAACTTTCTTTTTAGAAGAAAAAACATTTTACTGTACTTCACAGCTCTGTAGGTTGACTGGGCTCAGCTAGGTGGTTCTCAGTTGCAGGTCTCAGATGTTGCAGTCAGATAACAATGGGGACAAAACACCTGAGGGTGGGTGGCGCCTGTGGCTCAATGGGTAGGGTGCTGGCCCCATATACCAAGGGTGGCGGGTTCAAACCCGGTCCTGGCCAGACTGCAACAAAAATAAATAAATAAATAAATAAATAGCCAGGCGTTGTGGCAGGTGCCTGTAGTCCCAGCTACTCAGGAGGCTAAGGCAGGAGAATCGTCTAGGCGTAGGAGTTGGAGGTTGCTGTGAGCTGTGTGATGCCACAGCACTCTACCAGGGCAATAAAGTGAGACTCTATCTCTATAAAACAAAACAAAACAAAAAAAACAGCTGATGGTTCAATTGGGCAGATGTCCAATATGATTTACATTACATTTTTTGCATTTATATTGGGAAAAATTGAGTGGAAAAATGACTAAGTTGTAAATATTTTTCAAGACATGTTGCAGTTGATACTGTTGACTAGGAACACACCTAGGGCTCTCAACTGCTATGCCTAAATACATTTCCTTAAAGTAAT